TAGTGGGAACGTCCTAGTTGCTTAAGGTGTTTCTAAATGCTGACCCAATAACTGCAGCCACTTAAAATGCCAGCCAGCCTGATTGTCTTTTCATTAGCACTTCCATAAATCTAGAGCAATCCTAAAGGATTTAATGGAATTACAGCACTGTGAAACTGGTAAAGGAAAGTAGATTTAGACTCAGAATCAAACAGGCCCTCTGCCCTGTTGCATTGCCACACTAAAGAGAAACACACATGCTCAGAGTGAGTCCTCATCGATCTAAATGGGAGGAAATGGTGATGCATTCTCTGTGAGGGTCTTCTGACTCTAGAATTTGGTTTCAGAAAACTGGATGTGTTACCTTCTTGATTATGCTCTGGAAGAAATATCCTAATAGGAGCTTAATCGCTCTTTGGTGCATTACTGTTTATGATAGGATGAACAGGTTCTTGATTATTACGATATTGTTGAGCGTGTTATACTGTGAGGTTAACTCAGAATATAGAAAGGAGCCAATTCATTGTGAATGCTAAAAGAAACTAAATAAAATATAGTATTATTCTGAGTCCATTATTAACAGCTTTAGGATTCTGCTCTCCATATGGCTTCTTTGACCCAAATTTTTAGAAGTATTAAGGCATCTAACATCCATTGAAATCAATGGGGCTTTTACCTCTTAGCTTCTAAGTTGCAGTTACTTGAAAGTATGGGTTAATATAGACAAACAAATATATTTTACTTTTTACTGCAATTGTGATAAATATAGATTAAAATAACCCTATATCTTGTGACACCTGAGAAAATATATCCCTCATTACTTTAGACAAGATCAAAGAATAAACAAATGACACATCAGCAATACATAGTGTAACCTATAAAACAGGGGTGGGCAAAGTCCAGGCTGCGGGGTGATCAGGCCCACAGTGGGCTTTATTTCCCAGCAGCCCCTGTGGCAGTGGCTCCTTCTGGCTGCCACTGCCAGACCTAGCCCTGCTGCCTGGGCACCCTGGCTCGTTCAACCCACTCCTATAGTTGGGGTGGGACTCACATAGTGTGCACGGCTGGGTGTCTGGGATGGGGGCCATGGCTGGGAGTGAGACGGGTGGGCAGTACTGGGATCTTGGGCCAGTGATGCATAGGGTGGGGGCAGAGCACCAGGGACTGAAATTATTTAGGTATTCATCATGAACTGTATAATAGCTTGACATTCTGAGTAAGCATTGTCCTTTTAAGTATGTTACAGTTTAATTTGATTTGTATTTTTACTTCTACCCTTTTGCCCCAGGGCCCACCTAACATTAATATCATCTCATTGATAGTCTCCGTAAGTCTTCTCCTGGCAATTCTTTTAAAGAAATAATTCAGTTGGACTCGGCATAGTGCTAAAGGAGAAGATTGCATGCCTCAATCCTAATTTAGTATCAGTGGGGGTAACAAGTGCTTAGTGCCACAAAAATGGGGCTTGAAAACACTAGGCAGAGTGTGATGAGCATGAGAGAGAGCTCATTGCAACTGGATGATGATTAGTGGTATGATACAATGACAAGTATCCAAGTATTAAAGCCAACTAGCAGACAGTCTATACTTGAATTGGAGAAGAGAAATAAGACCAAGGTGACAAAAATAGAATGGGGTAAAAATCCTCTTATTTTTTAGGCAAAAAACCTAGAGGTAATTGTATCAGGGCAAGTATACTCATATGAATGGCTGTCTGGGGAGAATCTACCTGGCCCCAGGAAAAAATTAATTTGGGTTGGAATCAGTTAAAATTGTCTAAGTGAGGGTAGATTTACCTCAGTTTTTATACGGCTGGGTCTTGTGGCTGAAGCTGGTGTTTTCCTGTATTAGCCCATTCATGTGTCCAGAGCTTTGGGTTTGTTAATAGATAATAAGTCCATTTTCATGTTTGCTTAATGGAAACAACTTATTTACTTCTTGTTGAAACAGAATTGGCCTAGTGCCTAATCAGGATGAAGATAAGAGATCTTGCCTTCAGCTCTGAGATGAAGAAAGAAAAATCCAAGAGAGAATAGAGCCACTACACTGCAAATACTTAAATGAGAAAACAAGAGAAGCATACTAAACATCTGTGTCTAGGCAAGTATTTGTTCTTCTTCTCAGACGAAGCTCTTAGCAGTTACATAGAACCAGGTTTTCAAACTGTTATGCACTCTTACTTCAAAGGTCGTATTGACTTCTGTAGAACTATTTCTTTAGTGAATTGCCAGTCAGGGAGATTGTGTATGTCCCAATCTGGCACTGTGCTATTTAGTATTAAACAGTACTTTGAAAATGTGAAATTTCACTAAAATTATCACTAATGCTGAGTATCTACAACTTTATCCTAAGTCACTGGGAAGCAGAAGTGCACAGGATCTCTGAAAACTGGGTCCTAGGTATTGGAGGCTATACACATGCAATAAGGCACCCACATTTATGGGAGATTTCTGAAAAAAAGTCCTATATTTTAACCCTGTCAACTTTATATGAACAAACAAAAGTTTTCTTCTTCTTTTGTAAACAGTATACACCCACTAACCAAGATTTAAAAGCCAAGGCATGCCTGAAGATAATGTCCTCTGCTGCCCCTGTTAATTTCAATGTTATTCACTTGGTGCTTTTGAAAAGGAGACCATCAGCCTATCAGATGAATTTTAGATGTATCAACCTAAGTATAGGCCTCTGTTTGTTTTTTTTTTTAAACTTGACCTGGATGTTCAACTTATATGTATAGTATTTCTATAACACAGTACCTCTGTATTTCTGTAATTTGAGACATGATAAAAGTAATATAGATAATTATCCCACATACCTATTTCCTAAGAGAGTTAGCGTACACAATCTTTAAGATTAATAATATGTTGAAATGTAATGTTTTGACTACAGAGGGAATTTTATCCTTAGTATTTCAGGGTCAAAGATGAGAAGTTTTGAAACAAAAGATGTGACAATTTTATACCTTTTTCTTTTTGTGTGTGCAGCATGTTTTAGTTAACACAGAAGGAAGCAGAATTAAGAGGCACTGAGGTTGCAAACTTGAGATTCAGTCTAATTTCTACCATATGGTGTTTTTGTTTTTATCAACATCCTGGGAACAAAGGGTAGAACTTCCCAACTTGTTTGTTTTTATGCTAATTTCTGCTTTTTCAGAAGATATAAATGGTTGACTTAAATCCCATAAGTTTCATTACTTTTTCTTCTCTACTTTTTTCTAAGCAGCTTTCACATATTCAACATTGCATAAAATACCCAATTGTAATTATGTTTAACCTTTGTAAAGCCTCTGGGTAAAGTCTACTCATTAATCTTTAACCTGACAAGCCTTGGGGGTTGTGGAATTGGCACTGCCATGTATTAGAGGCACAGAGACCACAGACTAGAGGTACAAAAGGGGTAATTAAGAGGAGGGATGAAAGGAAATGGAACAAAACTAAAGGGATATGATTCTATTATGGTAGATGTCAGACAGTAGTAGGGACAATGGAATGCAAATTATTATAGACAGGGTTCAGGAAATAAACTAGACTATACAGTTTTTTTAGAACAAAACCAATTTAATCATCACCTGTCTTACCCAAGCATGAATAACTTGTACTGAATTAGATTTAAACTGTATTAATACACTGTGGTCACATATGCTGCTTGAAATACATATCATGATGCTGTTGAGCTTTTCAAATAAACATGCCACCCTTTTATAACTGTGGGAAGTTACTAATTAGGGCAACCTAAATGTACTCAAGGGGAAGGTGTTCCCAGGCAACCATGGCCAGATCCTACCACACCTGGATGTGGGTTGCTCAATAGGCCAAGGGGTTGCAGTGTAGTGGCTCCATGTCCTTGGTGAGATAGGTAGCTACTGAGGGCTCCACGTGCTACCTGCCGGATGGTGGGGTTTCGTGCCTCTTGACCCTGTCAATATCATGGGGCCACTACCAAAAAGCAGTGCAGGGCACCAATTTATTTTGGTTCTAATAGACTATGCGACAAGGTATCCAGAGGTGGTACCTATGCGGACGGTGTCCACCCCCAAGGTGGTAGAAGAATTATTAAAGATATTCTCCCGAGTGGGGCTCCCTAGGAATTATTAACTGACCAAGGGACTGACTTTACATCTCGTGTGTTTTGAGGGAGTGAGCAAAATACTGGGAATCAAACACCTAAGGACGGCAGTATACCATCCCCAAACTGATGAATTAGTGGAGCGATTCAACAGGACCTTGAAACAGATGCTAAAAAAATTTGTAGTAGAGCGTCCACAGAAGTGGGACCAGATGATACCACCTTTGTTGTTTTCAATAAGAGAGGCACCGCGGCCTCAACAGGTTTTTCCCCCTTTGAGCTGTTATATGATAACAACTAAGAGGAGTTCTGGATTTGGTTAAGGAAAGCTGGGAAGAGCAACAAAGTAAAGACCAGAACATAGTTCGTTATGTAATACAACTGAGGGAGCACCTAGAGTCAGTACGGAAGGAAGCTTTAGGAAATCTGAGGGAGGCCCAATAGCAGCAAGCAACTCATTACAATCGAGGGGCTTGAGAGAGGAAGTTTGAAGTAGGGGACCACATACTGGTGCTCTTACCAGATCAAGAGACTAAACTGCTAGTGCGATGGCAAGGCCCTTATGAAATAACACAACAAATAGGGCCTGTAGATTATGAAGTATACCAATCAGACAAGCAGAAGAAGAAACAGATATACTACATCAATATGCTGAAGCCATGGCAAGAACAGGAGTGCCTGTACTTGGCCCTCCAATCAGATGAACCTGAACTAGGACACTTCTTGAGGGAGAGAGAAGGGGGTAGTGAAGTGGAGGTGGCCCCCAACTCTCAGAAAAGCAGAGATGGCAGGCAAGGGAACTAGTGAGGGAATATGAAGACGTGTTCCGAGAGGTCCCCGGGGAGGCACGGGGTGTGGTGCATTGAATAAAGACCCATCTGGGGCAGGTAATACACGAGAACTGGAGGCAAATCCCACTACAACTTCAAGGCCCAATAAAAGAAGAACTGGCGATGATGTTAGAAAAAGGGATAATACAAGAGTGCCGAAGCAAGTGGCACAGTCCCATTGTGGCTGTCCTGAAACCTGATGGAAAAATTAGGCTCTGTATTGATTTCCAGAAAGTGAATGTGGTGGCCAAGTTTGATGCTTATCCCATGGCGAGGGTGGATGAAATGGTGGAGAATGTAGGACAAGCTAGCTATATGGATCTGATGAAACGCTGCTGGTGGGTCCCATTAGCACCTGAAGACCAAGAAAAAACAGCCTTTGCTACACCCTGGGGCCTATTTCAATTCCGACATGTGCCTTTTGGATTGCACAGAGCGGCGGCAATGTTCCAATGGCTGATGGACAGAGTCCTGGTGCTGTATGGGGGTTACGCTGCAGCATATATAAACAATATTATTGTGTATATGACAGATTGACCAGGACACTTAACAACACTATGAACAGTATTGCAGGACCTAAGGAAGGCGGGATTAACCGCTAACCCAAGGAAGTGTACGATCGGTAAAGAAGAAACCTGGTACCTTGGGTTCCAGGTAGGAAGTGGGAAGGTATGACCACTGCTGGACAAGGTAGAGGCCATAAAGAAATATCAAACTCCATGGACAAAGAGACAAGTGAGGGCCTTTTTGGGAATGGCAAATTATTACAGGAAGTTCATCCCCCACTTTGCAGACTTAGTGGTGCCTTTAACTGAGATGATAAAGGCAGCAGCCCCAACCAAAGTAGGATGGACACCAGAAGCAGAAACAGCATTTTCAAAGATGAGGGAAGCACTGTGTATGCAACCATTACTGTATACACCAGACATCAACAATGCATTTATGGTATTAACAGATGCCTCCAACTGTGCTACTGGGGCTGTGTTGGTCCCAACTGAGAAAGGAGAGGAACATCCAATAGCATATATTAGCAGAAAATTTCATCCCCCAGAGAAGAATTATGAAACAACAGAAAAAGAATGTTTAGCAATCAAATGGGCTATAGAAACACTGCAATACTACCTGTTAGGGTGGAAGTTTACACTGATTACAGATCATGCCCTGCTGCGATAACTTCAGAGTATGAAGACTGATAACGCGAGGCTTATGAGATGGTCCTTCAGTCTCCAACTATATTGCTTTGAAGTGGAACATCGTCCAGGGATTAAAAATGTAAGCGTAGATTTTTTATCTAGACAATATGAAGAGGAAAGGGGTTTGGGGGGAAAAGGTAGACCCCGGGCAGGAAAAAAGAGAGCGGAATGTGTGACAGGGAACCCTAACCCTGTCACGAGGAAGAAGGTGTGCCCCTATAAGGCCAGAACCTTCTGGGCACATAGGGCTGGTGAGGAAGGGGTTAATTGCTGAACTGGGACGGCTAGTCAGCTGACTGGAAGAGGCAGGACTGTAAAAACCCTGGATGGAATGGCAGTAGGAAGGTCAGCTGCTGAAGGGGAAGCAGTCTCCCTGAAAGCTCCAGGAAGAAGCTTGGGCAGCAGTCCACGGCAGGAAGGGGGAAACTACGGAAGCCCTTGCGAGATGACGACTGCATCCACAACCAGCACTGTAGCCTCTTCCTTCCCCATAGCTCCTGCCCATATACCTCCACTGTTGTTGCGAGCTGCAGCTCCAGCTGGTTGGTGTTCTTTTCATGGCTGCAGCTGTCAAACTGGTGGCCTGAGGGCCTGAGTTAAAACTGAGGCTACTCAGCCCCCTCCTTGAATCACATGGCTTGCCTCTGATCATGTGACTGCCTCATCAGGGCTGGCCCATACCCGCTGGCTATCCTGCGGCCTGCTCTAAGCGCTTAAAATGGCAAGCAGCAAGGGTGCTCTGCCATAGTTATACATATTATAAATCTCTTAGTATTTCTGTTGCTACTCATTTGGGAGTTAGGGGGTAAAAGAAAGGAAATACATTTATGGTGGAAACAACGCATCTTAATTTATTCTTTTCAAAGGCAGGCACCGTATTTGCAAAATACACTAGAAACATTAACAGGCTGACAAAAGGAGACTTTGCCAATTTACAGCTTTGGAAAGGGTGACATGACACACATTGTGGAAGTGGTAAAAATTGCACATATATGCTTGGAAAATCTAACAGCTCTAATCTGAAAATGGTAATAGAAAATGAACTATAAAGGTTAAATGTTTTTAGCTTGTTCCTTTTTGCCTTCTTCATCCAAATAAGCAATTTAACTATTGAAATCTAGACCAAGCAAGTTCTGTCTTTCTTATTAACAGGGGAAGTTGCAATGCTGTTGTTAAGATTGATTTATAGGCAAGAAGGCACAATTATGATCATCTTGGGCATGTCTACATGTGCAGTTAATGCTACGGAATATACTCCAGCTCAGTTCGGGCTAGTCCAGACATTACTGTCAGTAAACTAGTCCTGACGTTACTGTCTACATGTGCATTTAAGTGCAGTAATTTCCTGTGCTGTTGAATACCACTTGTATCTGATGGGACTATCCAGCAGCACAATAAATTAGTCTACTGAGCCTTAATGTCCATGCATGTGTAGAAGGTGACACTTTACTGTGCAGCAGCTTAGTCTGCTGTATGGTAAAGTGTCTCATGTAGACGTGTCTCTTGATGTCAGATTTGTATGAGTAAGGTGAGCTATACATGGCCCCTAAGCTGAAAATGTTATTAAAAATTGAAACAGAAAAAATAAGGGGACTCTGTCTTGGTTGTTATTTCAAGCATCGTTGAGGGCTCAGATCTCACCTACTGTGTAAGCCTGATTCTCCCCTTTCTTACCCTAGTTTCCATGCCAGTGTAACTGTGGTGAGTTACAGATTTAACCAATTTAGAAGAGTGGAGAATTAGGTCCTGTCCTTGGAATGATCAATGCAAATAAGAATAACCCTGTCGTGTTCTTTCTTTGTCCTTTAAACTAGGAACTTTCATTCCTTAATGAGATACAGAATATGTGTATGTCCTACAGTGCACATGTTGGCTTTGCTTATTTTACTCAGCCCTTCAGGGCATCTGCTTTCCCAAGAGGAAGTAAATCAAGTCTAATAAAACAACATCTTACTAAATTTAACAAATAGCCAGGAAATACTGAAGTCAAAATAATGGATGCAACCAACACATAAATCCTGGATATAAATGGATGACAATTAGGGGAAAGAAAAATGGGTCAGAAAAAAGGAGGGAATACTATGGTTTTTTATGCTGGATTTATTAGCTGTCTGGGTCATCTACTTTATATCTTTCTAATCATCTGTGTAAATAAGACTAGCAATGTCATATTGTTTCATTCCTGTGCTACATTGACAATTTTCATTGTTTAATGAGATCGAATATTTCTAGGTTCTACATATGTATGCTTATTCTGTTCGGTCCTTCAGGGCATTTCCCTTCCCATGATGAAAAAATGTCCTCAAAGAATAATAAACATTTTGTAGTGAATTCAACAAGTAAGTGAGATAGGCATTCAGTGCTTTAAATTTTCAGTTATAATAAAATAATAAATTCTGTTTGCATAAAATCAGCTTTATTTGATAGTCTTGCCTGGGGTGCATTATGGCAAAAACAGGTTCACTTATAGAGGTTTGATATCTTCCTCTAAAGTCTCTGACCTTGACTAGGAAGTAGAATGCTGCATACTTCCATAGACAATTTGTCCTACCATTTTTACAGGCTGCACATTTTTTCCTCAGAATTAATCTGAATTGTCTAGGCTGTGATTTAAACTCAATGCTTTATGTGTGCCCTATGAGGCAAGAGAGAACTGTTCTTCCTCTTATTTGTGGTAGCCTTTCAAAAATTTGAAAATTGATAATGTATCTCTTCTTAATCTCCTTTTGTACAGAATAAACAGGCCTAGGTTTCTCAGCTTATCCTCATACAGCTTCTTTCCAACACTTTTATCACCTTTGTCACTTACCCCTGGATAGTCTCCAGTTTCCCTATATACATCTTAAATGTGGTCCCTAGAACTGGTCATAATACTCCAGGTAAGACCTAACCAGTGCCAAGTAGGGGCATAAAATCATAGACAAATTGGCTGTAATGGACTTCCAAGAAGTTATCTTTTCAAGCTCTTTTATCAAAGCAGGATCATCCCTGTCTAAACTATCGAAGCCAAGTGTTTTCTCTAACCTTTACTTAAACACTGATGATGATAGATATTCTGCATCATCTGTTCAAGAAATCTGCTCTAGTATTTAACAACCTTGCAGTTAGAAGGAACTTCCAAATAGCCAACCTAAATTGCCCTTGTTGCAATTTAAGCCCATTACTTCTTGTCCTATTTGCTGTGGATGCAGACCGTAGTCAATCCTCATCCTCTTTATAATAACACTATTTGTATTTGAAGATTATTGTTAAATCCTCCTTCAGTCTTTTCTTTTCCACACTAAGTAATCCCACTTCTTCTTTTCATATATATCATGTTTCGTAGACTTCAAATATTTTTTCTTGCTCTCCTCTTGATTCTTTCTAATTCATCCATGCCTTTCTTGAAATGCAGTGACCAAAATTGGACACACTGATAAAGCTGTGTATGGAGGACTGTGTAACAGAGTGATCAGGAACACAGGTTGTATCCATGTTGGTCTGCAGGCGAAAGTAATCAGAACTGTTGAGGGTGTGGTATCTTTTATTAGACAAACTAGGTAGTTGCAAATATATATATATTTGCAAGCTTTTGGGAAGATGGTAACTTGCAGTATTCTATAGCTTTTTAGAAACAATATTACACTATTGATTCATATTTAACTTGAGGTCCTGTATAACCTTCCAGGCCCTTTTCTGTCATACTGCAATCTAGCCACTCAATCACACTTTTGTGTTTGTGCATTTCATTGTTCATTCTTAAAAAGTAGAGGCTGGCTCTGGCAGACATGGGGCTTAAGATGGTTGCAGCAGAACAGTGTCCTAATCAGGGATCACTTGTGTCCCCAGAGGGTTAACACTGTCACCACTTGCACCCCACTACTGGAAGTGGGTCAACTAGCCCTTGACAAGCCCTGTCAGCTGGCTGTAGCTTGTGAGGGGAAATGAATTTAACAACCCTGATGTTGTAGCCCATACTCCCTTAGTTTACTTATAAGAATATCATGGGAGACTCACAAGCATTGCTAAAGCTGAGGTATATTACATTCACAAAGCCCACCACTTGTCCTAGAAAGAAATCCAGATGGTGATGCAACTATATCATAGTTATAGCTAGAAAGAATTATAACTTTTCTCCTGAAAAACCTGGGGGCAGAAACAAGGACCAGAAGCTACTTTCTCCCTAAGTCATGCTCCTTGTTTCCTCTCTTTCTGACCTCTCATATTTTCCCCTTTTGGCTGCCCTGTGAGGCAGCTTCAACAGAAGGGGTGGAATTGCCCTCCTGGCAATGTTTAGCTCATGATCTGCCAGTTAGGGCACTTGCTAAAAAGTGAGATTTATATGTGTATTGTACAGAAGCTGGT